TTGAACGTCCCCGTCGCGCGGCGGCGTGAGCCTTTCGAGCTCACGCTCAGCCGCTCCGCCAATGTTGTGTCGGACTCTGAGTCCGACCCCCTTCGACTGGACTCCCGTGTGTGGGGCCTGCTGGACGAGTCCAGCGCCTCACCACGAGTCCCGGAGCCACTTGGGCTCCCTTCTCCCGCTACCGCAGGCGAGCCAAGCTCACCCGCACTCTCCTCCTCCGGTTGTGGTTTTGATTTTGATTTTAAATTCTCCATACAGTTCCCACGAGTATGGGGGAAATATTCGGTCCACCCAGGCAGTGCCCCCTGTACCTGGGTAAGTGTTAATTTGTTTCCCAACTAGAGGTTCCACTGGTCCCCTAGCTGGGGGTGCGCTCGCGACTGACACTACTCCTCAGCCATGCATACTCTCGCCGCGCACCAGAACTTAGTATTGGAGGAATTTTTTATAGAGGTTATCTTCCTCGCGGTCCGGGCGACCAAGCCAAGACCCTCGTCCCGTTCAGAGTCACAAAACATGACCGTGACCTCCTTACGGATTACGATATCGACGGCTGCAATCGGGGACAGCTTGTGTCCCGATGCTGCTCGCTGGCAGGGTGAGTGCACAACGAGCACCGCCCTTGCCTCTCCGCCACGCTCTCTGCTAATCAGAGAGACAGGCGGAGAAACGCCCCACGGAAGCGCGGGCCATGAGCACACAGCCCGCCGCCTCCAGAACCCTATCGGGTTCGCCCGCCCAGTCCAGAAGTCTGCTGCGGGCGACAGTCACTCCAACCCTATCACCCCCGCTAGGGAGACTGTCGCCCGCACCCAGGGTGCACCACGGGGAGGTCTTCTGGCACCGCACCCCATGCTACTATGTATAGGCCTTATATTAAAACATTTTCTTTTTTTATCTTTTTCTTACTACACTTTTTAGTAAATATTACTGCTCGACAACAATATTATACGTCTGTAAATATTCTTGGTTTTAAATCAAAATATGTTTAATATTTCTCACAGATCGGCGTTGTTTCGTTCGGACGTGGTGGATGCGATGGTGGTTCTCCTTCTGGATATGCTAGAGTTTCTCACTACATTGACTGGATTAATGAACGTCTGTAATATATTTTTGAAAGTAAACACTTGTTTAATTTAATTGTACCTGTACCTGTACCTATACCCTTCACCGCAATTTAGTTTATGTATTATGGAATCATAAATTCTTAGCCAACTGCTTAAGTTTGGAAAAGAATGTCGTTTTTTGACGAATCAAGCGTTCTTCGTACAATTTTGAATTTGAATTAGAATTTTTACCGTACTTTAAGTGACTGTACTAAAAAATTTTGTACTGAACTATTATGTAGTGGAAAATTTCACGAAAGTTGGAGCATTTAGAGGTAGAATCAAATTCCATCATACATTATTACTTACATATTATTACATATATATATTTATTACATCTTACATTTACATCATACATATTATATAAATTAATAGGTACATTATTCCTCAAATTCGACACAAATAAATATTTTTCAACGAAACTGCGTTTCGAACAGTTTATTTGGACTTATTTAAATTTATTCTAGTGTAACCAAAGCGCACCTAATCGCCATATCCACTAGGAAACACTTTGTACGTGACATGACATCATCATGTTGCTAAACACTGCATGGTTGGCGTGGTGCCTGGGCAACTGGTTGCCGTGCAACGTGTCGCGGGTTCGATTCCCGCACGGAACAACTCTTTGTGTGATCCATAGACTGTTGTTTCGGTTCGGGTGTGATGTGTTTGTGAACTTGTATGTTTGTAAACGCACCCACAGGAGAAAATCCTAGTCTTCGGCAACGTTTCACAAAAAAAGAAACATGTTGGAATTCATCGAGGATCTCTTGTTAAACCATATCGCCTGTCTACTCATGATTTCGCTAGCAGCATTCGGCGGCAATATTGTCGTTGGAAGAACAAATTTGTGCATCACCTCCCTCTAAAGAATATTTGATGTTTAACTCCAGTTGCATGGAGATAAGTAACATAGCGCGCATTATGATGCACGCTATGTTACATCACTGAACCCGAGGCACGCAGTGGTCAAACTACAGCGCGCCCTAGATGCGCTCCCTGAATGGCTGGAGAAGTGGAGACTGGCTGTGAACGTGGCCAAGACTCAAGCACTCGCCGTGGGGATCATGAAGCCGACACCCATAACACTCTTGGGAGAGCAGGTCCGGTGGGCGCCGAGCGTTAAATACCTCGGCGTGATCATCGACCGCTCGCTTTCAATGACGCCCCACGTGCAACAGGCTGCTGCTCAGGCGCGCGCCGCGCGTCACCTCCTGCGTCCGGTGATCGACTCGGCGCTACCTCTCCGTGCGAAGCTCGGCATCTACCTCTACAAGGCCTACATTCGGACACGGCTCACCTACGCCGCCCGGCATGGTATGCGCTCGTGTCCGAAACAAACAAGAAACGCCTCCGTGCGCAGCAGTCACTGTCGCTGCCCACCATAGTACAGGCCCCGCGCTTCGTACGGAACGCGACAATCACACGAGACCTCGGCGTAGAGAGCGTCGACGCATTCGTGCAGCGCCTGAGCACCACACTCTTTGAGCGCTCCGATCGGTTGCGGCACGACCACCTCCGGGAGCTGGCGCCCTACGAGCTGGCGCCCTACCACCGGCGCCCCCCCGACGGCTTCGGCCTCCCACGAGACCTGGTCGCACCGACCGACCCATCGGACGCCGCGTGAGACTCCCGCCCGCCCGCCGGCGGGTTGGTAGAGTCTCCGCCCCCACCGGACACGACCGCGCGCCGCTACCAACCCGCCGCTCGCCAAGCTCCCCCCGGCTCGAGCGCGGCCCCTAGCGGTGCCCCCACTGGACACGACCATGCCCCGCCAACAGCTTGCTGCTCGCTGGGCTTGCCCGGCTAGAGCACGGCCCATGGCGGGGCAAACCAGCGGACTCGACACCGCATCGGGCCCCGCAAGGAGCCCGACTAATACAACCCCTCGCCTGCTGTAGCAGGCAGCGAGCGCATACGCCGAGACAGGCATCGGCCTGGATCGCGCGACCTCGCGCCCCCAGCCGGGGACGCAGAGAAGACTCGACGGTAACCGTTATAGCATAGCTATCATTCAGTGGTAATAGCTCGCAAGGCCTGATCACCTCATCTGGTCGAAGGATTCTCCTTTCCAATATTTGGGAACATTACACCCCGTTTTTTACATCGTAGTTCAAGAACACAAAAATAATTTGTTATAGTAGAACATAAAATTTGCAATACTTACACTAATTTTAGTTTTAGACTGGTTTACCCGCAAACTCCGATAAATTGATGATAATAATATAAAAGCATGTTTGTTTTGCCTACGTTATGGAAGAATTAATTACTGGGGAAAACATAATTGTAGTTTTGGGATTCAATTTAATGTTGATTTTTATCTCTCTGAATAATTATCAACCTGCTAAATAAGGCTTATCTCTTCTTGGATTGCTACTCTGTATATAAACCAGGGCATTTATGTATAAGCACACAACGAATGGGAACAGCAACATGAAGTTTTTGGCAGTGACTCTGTTGGCTCTAGCGGTGTCCGCCTCCGCAAGGCACATCACACTCGAAGATGTCATCGAATTAGAAAAGAACACTCCGTACAATTACATCCAGAGAATCGCCATACCGTTGGCTGACGAAGTCCGTATTGCTGAAGAGGAAGGCAGACAGAATCCATCTAGAATCGTTGGTGGCTCGTTAGCTGCTCTTGGACAATTCCCGTATCAGGTGAGTACTTATCATAAATATGCAAGAGTTTGCGTTTCGTCAGGACAAGTTACTGCTTGTCCGAAATACTCTTCTGTGAAACTAATTACAAAAAACAAAATTGTTATAGTTGGGCAATTACGATCGTGCGAACTCTCACGTCAAAGAAATGTGGCAATGCAATACAATTCGCATACGTGTGAGCGAGAGATATGATAAAAATGAAAATGATGTTCACACGTTTGTAATGGCCCAACTATAGCTAATTTCTTTAATAACTTAAAGTCAAAAATCACAAAGAATTAATTTTTTCAGGCCGGTTTACTGTTACATTACCCTACAAGAACTGGTATCGCTAGTGCATCTCTAATCTCCAACAACAGAATACTAACTGCTGCACACAACTTGAATGATGGTGTAGCAAATGTTCTGAGTGTGACTGTTGTCCTTGGTACTACAACTCTAATGTCTGGTGGTGTAAGAATAATTAGTAGCGACTATATTTTGCACGAAAAGTATGATATTTCTGTAGTCAGAAGTGACATTGCTATCATCAACTTACCCTATCCTGTTCAATTTTCAAGTAAGTATATAAATAGAATTACTTACATTTTTAAAGTAAAAAGGAAATTTTACAACCTTCTAAACAATGAAAATATAATTTTAATGCGATTATTGTATAACTAATCATTTAAAAAATAACGAAACTAAACTACCAAAAAGCATCAATTTATAATCGCTATCGTCAGGTACGGTACTCAAAAGAATAATTTATTTATTTATTTATTTAGAAAATGTACATATACAACACCACAGCTTACGCCATTAAGTTATACTGTTAAACTTATATATATAAATGCTATTATTTAGGTAATTAAAACAAACTAATATAATTTTATAATATAATTTTTCATACTACATATGTTTAATATCTACCCTATCTTCAGGCATCCTCGCTCCCATCGCCCTGCCGTCTGGATCTCAGCTCGAAGAAGATTTTGTTGGTGAAGTTGCCATTGCCTCTGGTTATGGATTGAATCCTGCAAGTAAGAAATTTAACACTATTGTAATCGTTTCAATACTATTTTGAATTCAATAGACTTGTAAATCAATTCTTCTATTTGTTAAACAGTTGGTGGTCTGGTTTCAAACCAGCCATTTAGCTACGTGGACTTACCTGTGATCTCCAACGATGAATGCGCCCCGTTTTACGAATCAATAATACAGCCTGGAATCATCTGCACGGGAAGTGTTGTTGGCAAAAACATCTGCAGCGGTGACTCTGGTGGTCCTCTTGCCATACATAGAAATGGCAACCCAGTAGTGGTATGTACAGTCAAAATAAGCTTTAAAATGCCTATGAGCGATAAAAATCACAATACAAAATCTAAATATAGAAGCTATTTAAAACGAATATTAAAAACCTCATTGTTCATGATAATGATCTCGTCTACCTCCTCCAGGTATAATAATATATATGTATATAACGCGTATATGAATATAGACCCTCCATCGTCACATTTCTTTTTAGCCATTTTAAGTTTTTTTTTGCATTATATGGACTTAACATGTAAATAAGTAAAAAAAACGTATGTTTTACAGATTGGTGTGGTTTCGTTCAGCCGCGATGGATGCCATGGTGGTTCTCCTTCTGGATACGCTAGAGTTTCCCACTATATTGACTGGATCAATGAACGTCTGTAATATTGAAAGAATAAATCAAATAAAGAATATACATATTTTAAAGAAGTTTTCACAAATAATCAAAATACACATATCAGTATTTCATTTCAATTATCTGTATGCTGCATAGGCTCAGGATCCATGATTTGTTAGATCATTATAAACTTACATACAACTAGCTTCTGCCCGTCAACTAACTTCGTCCGCGTGGAACAGTGACTTCTGGCAGATTTTTTGTTTTACCTACATAGTTCCCGATGTCGTAGGATTTACGGGAAGTTCTTGCTCCCGTGGGATTTCCGGGATAAAAACTAACATATGTCCTTTCTCAAGTTTCAAACTGTCTGTACTAAATTTCATCCAAATTGGTTCAGTAGTTTAGGTGTGAAGAAGATACAGACAGAGTTATTTTCACATTTATAGCATTGGAATAAAATAAACATAATATTTTGAGACAAGCTCACAGCAACACATTAAAACGACTCAAAAACCGAATAGTTATTGATTTCAGCGCGCCACAAAACGCAAGTTCCTGGCAATATTCTTATATTACTAAAAACAAAATGTACATACATGAAATAGTCATAATATTAGTTGTGCCCGCGACTTCGTACGCTTAGTTATGGGTATGGTAAAGGATATAAATAAGAATAAAAATTACAACAATGCTTGTCTGT